GAGAGGGACCGGCTCTTTTACAGCTTGGGATCTTGATGGTAATTGGGGATAGCACTGATTGATAACTTCTTCCAAAACCATCTTACCGTTGCCTGCGGAAAGGCTCGAGTCATCGTAGAAGCAGTCAGCATGGAACAGAAGCTGATCTTTGGATGGGCTTCTGAGATTCTGGAGCTCACAGCACAGAAGGGCATGCTGGATCTTGTTCAGACGCTCCTCCTCCGTCTCCATGGTTCCTGTCTCTAGGTCAGAGGATGCCAGGGCATACAGAGCGTTTGTTGGACCCTTATCACCCTGCAGGGCTGCACCAACAAATGAGTGGGCATCCTTGGGAGGAAGAGCAGGGCTGAGCAGGCGATCGTCAGGCTCAAAAAGTTCATAAAGGGCATCACCACTGTAGCTATCCCGTGGAAGCCTTTCCTGGTGTGGACGTTCTCTGCTCTCCTCCTCCATACCTGGCGTGGTGGAGTCATAGTATCCCTCATCGCTGTTGGGTACCGATTCCTGCCGATCACTCTGTGGGCTTAATAGATCAACAGGAGTGAGGGCTGTTTCTGTGATTCCCAGTGGGCTGCTGTCAGAAGTAACATGGATGGAGCTGATTTGCTGATCGGGAGTGAGTGAAGGGCTATCTGAGCCCCTGTCTGAAGGTACATAGCAGACTTCATTACTAGTTTCACACTCCCATAAGCTCTGCAAGTAATCCGCATCTATCTCATCGGGAGTTGCCATCTCTTCCCCTCCACCTTGATATGTGACAAAACACGAGCTCCGTTTTCCTGCATTTCGGCTGCCTCTCTCGGCAGACACTGAGCTCTCAGCGACACTGACATCATCCTGGTCTGCAATGATGTCTCCGCAACCTGTCAGGGAATCAAAACTTTTCAATGATGAAACATCACCAAAGATTAAGTTTTCAGAGGAGCAGGATGCAGCAGGAGGCTCCCCATCGGGAATGTCCACATTCTGCTCAGCCAAGCGATCCAGTTCTGACTCGGCACACAAGGGCTGATGATATGTCGTCAGTCCTTCCCGTCTCTCATTTTGCATCTCCTCCCACTTATTCTCCTCATCTTTTGCTCTCTTCCTCTTATCCACCTCCACTCTGCTTCTCCTTTTCTCAGGCACTAGCGTTACATCTTTCTTACATTCAGTGGCAGCCAATGGCAGTTCATACTCACTGCCTGTGGTTTGATTAGGCACATCTGGCACCAACTCTTCCCCCTGACTGTCGCCATGGTTATCGCTACGGTCACTGACGCTCGACAGGGCACTGGGCACTATTTCTGCATGGAAGCTTGAAGACATTTCGAGTGCCTCCCGCTTTTCTAGTTCAGCATTTTTGTTTTTCCTGTGTCTCCGAATGCTGCTGAAAAGACCCCGAAGACCTCTGCGCTGTCGGGGTAGAGACTGAGACTTCCCATGATCCTCCTGTGATTTCTGAGGGTCACTGGAGGTGCAAAACTCAAAGTCCACTGAGGCCACTTCACTGCTACCTCTGCCCAAATCTTCCCAGCATGCTCGGCTCACCCCATCATATGTCTGGCTCTTGGTAACACCTGTTTTTGACGAACCCTTTCTTTGACTTCTGCCTCGGCCACCGAAAAAGCTGGGCAGAACACAGATGCTCTTCCGACCTCCAAAAAACTTGAAAGCCGTCTTCCTTATTTTCACAGAAGGGGGTGACTGAGGTTGAGGGGTGTCATGGGAAACAGAGTCTGACTGTGGACCCCCTATTGCACCACCAACCTCACTTCCTGTGGTGGTCTCCATAGTGACACAGATGACTGTGACTAATGGAGCATGTCTGTTGTAAATACTCCACCCTGAGAGCCAGGCTGGAAGTTATGGGGACTGTGTTTATAAGACATGTTATACCTGTGAAAGTAACAGAAATTAAGACACATCATTAGAAACAGTCAAAATAAGAAAAAATAGAACTAAGACACATATTTATTAAGAAACATTTGCAAAAACAATTTACTCAAACACTGAAAGTTGTGAGATGCCCATTTGCACAGCTCCATGATAATGCCAGATATGACCTTGCAAACAAGGTTTAAGGACTGAATAAACTTTTGGGTTTTTTTCTGAAAAAAAAATGTGAACATTAAGATTTTGTTTACAACACAACATAACACAAGGAACACTCCTGCCACCATCTCACTTTGAGATTGTCCTAGGTGCTAAACTAACACTCTGACTTCTGAGCTGTGGAGTTACAGCAAACATACCTCATTGAGGTTTAATATACTTAACACCAAATTCCTTCATACATGTCACTGACAAACCACTCTATATACAGGCGAGGAAAAGAGCACAGAAACTGAATACAATGTGCACAGTTTTATACTGCGTTTTCCCGCCATAAAACAATTATGAAAACAGTTACCATGCCTTAATGTACTCAATGAGTTTATTCAAGTATATACTGAAATTTATCACTACTGTCTTACTGCATAAAGCATATTAGAATGTCCCAACTCATTTAAGTCAGCTCCATAAAAAAGCAAGTAAAACCTTTCAAAAATCAAAATATACTACATTTGGTAAATATATAACTATTTAAGGGGTCTATTACGAATATATTAATAAGATTCCTTGGGCTCCTTTAGACCATGGCAATTTTGACCAAGGCAAATTTGACAAGTGAGAAAGCACAAAGCCCTATTCTGACTAGGTAACCACCATATAAATTCATTCAATATAATAAATTCACCATATAAGGTTTTTTTTCCCCATTAAATGAATCAAACCAATAATAAATCCATGTTTTATTTTTTATGTTTTCCACATAATTATTTACTTATGTGTTACTTTACCATGTCTTGTGCATTACTTGCACTGTTGTTTCCCCAGTGGTTACAGCTATCATCACCAAGAACAAAATGTACTATCATGCAGTTTGTCACTGGGCTATGGAATGAGTACATTTCGTTTGCTCATTTAGGTGGAAATAATTGGATTAAAATTTAAGATTTTTCTTAACCACAGAAGTAGACAGGCTAACCTACAACAAAACCGATGACAGTGAAGTGTTGCAACCTGAATGAGTCCTGCAATGCAACACACAATGTGACTGAAGTTCCGCTGGATTAATCCTTAAAAGCTGACTGAAGTAATCGGGCCTGAACTCTCACTGTATGTACATCATAAACAAAAGAGAAACACAATACTGATATAGCGTCCAGTACAAAGAACTACACCCCATGGGCCAATTGTTGCAGTGAAACTGTTATTAGTATCGAAAAGAACTTCTATTAAAAGACTGCACACAGAGTCCCCAGCTGCACACCATCACTGCGATTAAACGCGCAACTGACGCGCGCTAGCCCAGACGCTAACCAGCTCGCGACCGCTTCACTGATATACGCGTAACTTGCATTCACAAACAGCTGTTTCTGCGTGAACACTCACGTACGTTCACAGTCAATGAGCGAATAATACACAGAAATAGATACATTAGCGATACTCGCCTTATTTTTCCATCTTTTCCGCCCGAGCGTGCAGTGATGTGCTCTGTCCTCGCGTAACGCTGCAGGGGCTTCTTCTTCTTCTTTTGTGTTTAATGGCGGTTGGCAAACCAGCTTAAGGTGCATTTCCGCCACCTACTGGGATGGAGTGTGAGGCCTCGATGAACGAACATATTAAATACTACTAATATAAAAAAAAAAAAAATTATTCTAATCAAATCTGTATCTCTCAGATATTTTAGAAGAAAACCATACACCCTTAGATGCTTCTGTGCATTCTGAAATATATTCATAACTGAAATGTCATTGATTTCCATATCTCTTAGTTTTTCAACAAGTTGCTTTCTTTGTCTATTATATGCCTCACAATGTAAGAGCACATGTTCAACTGTTTCTGTTATTCCACAGTAACTGCAGCTATCCGCCTCACTTTTTTCCTATTATATGCAATGAATAATTAAGGTTAGAGTGTTCTATACAGATCCTGCTCGAACCAACACATTAGGATTCTCTTTCAAAATGTGTTCCCTCTGTACTTTCATACTTTCCGATATATTATTATTATTACTATGAACCTTAACGAATGCTTCTACGAATTCCTCTGCCTTTTCTTCATTAGTCATTATATATCTACCCTCTTTTATGAAAACTGGAATACTTTTATACATCTGTTTCCCACCCATCTTCCTAACCACACGCTGCAGGGGCTCGCGGCTGTGATTCACTTTGTTCATTGAGCGCTGGAGCGGCTGGAGGCGTTTCCGTGCTACGTGCATTTTGGGAAGTGTAGTACCATGGTATTCAATGTACTGTCTTGGCATGCACTATAAAAAGCAGTCAAAGGAAAAAAAATAAATAAAAAATAATAAAAAAACAAAAAGAGGTAATGTGTAAAGGTAATAAAAGACATAATAACAATAGGCTATACAATAAAATTATATAAACAATTAACACGTAATTTACTAATTAACAGTAATTAACATTATAAATACCTTGAGTTTTGCTGCAACACACCTCTGGTTAAACTGTGATCGGGTAATTAATCTGCAACAGGCCTTGGGGGTCCACAGAAAATTTGAGAGGGAAAAAAAATCTGATTTTACTAAACGTGTTTTAGGGTATGTCAAATTTAATGTGTTAGGTTACTCTTTGCCACCAAAATAAAATTGTATTTGAACTATATTTTTTTGTGAAAAGTACAATGACAATATAAAAGCCTTTTTTTTTTCATTTTGCTGCCTTTTTATTTTAGAAAGGCATGGGGGTCCTTGGAATCAAAAAGTTTGTGTTGTTGCAGTGTTCTTATTGAAAAATATTTTTGCTCATTGAAATAAATTACATGAAAAACATACCAAAACTGAAATAAGAATGAAGCAAAATAGAAATGTTTAAAAAATAATGGCAAAAGCACAAAACATAACTACTAGAAGTAAACTAATTAAAATGAAAACTGAAAATATACAAATGCGAATTCAAAATATTGAATACTATAACAGCATATAAATAATAATAATAAATTGACACCGGTCTAGTCTGTATTTGGTATGTTTTTGTGTATCTCAGCTCCTTTCAGCTAAATGTTAGCACTTTGAGTTTTCCACATCAGTGCAATAGCATTATTTTATGAAGTGGAAAAAAAAACTATATGGAAACTGGCACCTCAAATTACCCCATAAATGTAAATATAGATGAAACAACACTGATAAACATTCTGATGTTCAGCAGTTCAATTTTATGAACAATTAACAAGCCCGATGTCATCCATACTATAATTATATTTTCAAAATACACCTGCATATGTACTGTATATCCCATTTAGCACAGACTGTTGTACTTTTTAATGCTCAAGCAAGATACTTCAATACCTATGCTATAAATCCTTCTGAGGACTTGCTCTGGAACTGATGTCTTTAACCTCACAGGAACAGAATGATCTCCATTACATGCTACCTGCACAATGGAGGTTACATGACATCTGTTGGAAGTGTCCATCTGCTCTAAACAAGGGATTCATTTATACAAGTACATCACAGTGGATTTTATACATCATATTAAGATTAATAAGCCAGTTACCAACATTTTTACATCCTTCATCAAGCTGCTACTGATAAACAAAACACTAATGATTCTGTAAATATCATTGCTGAATTTAGTATGAGAAATGAAAACTTCCACATGATCTTGAAAAGGCAGAACAGACTGTACGACAATGCATAGTTCAAAAGAATTTACAACAACACTTCTGGTAATATTACACAGTCTAATTTGAAGGACATTAAAGCAAATTCATTTATGAGGATGTTTAACACACTCCATACATGTAAACCAGGGTTGTTAGCAGTGTATCGGTCCGTCTGTGAGATTGCATACGAGCGAGTCCACGTCATTAGTCCAGATCTTCTGTCTGTTTCGACTCCCTCTGATGTCTATATGGTCTACCAGTCCAGTCCGTGTGTGAGTGATTGAGTCTGTCCTTTAGTAAAGGCACAGTGGATTGTACTCTGTTTTGTCAGTAAACCAATACACTGTTCATAGGGTTGTGTTTGAGATAGTCGATGAGCCTGGGTGGAATCTCCAGAGAGTCCAATGACTGAATCTTGTTCACCTGTATCAGGTGTCTACGAATGGCCAATCTACACTGAGATGCAAGAGTCTTCGGACACCCTGTAAACAAAAAAAGAGAGAATTAAAAAAACAAAAAAGATCACATGATAATCAGTGTTATTTTATTATTATTTATATACTAATAGTATTTGTTCATTTTGAATTAATTTAAAATTAACCTTAATTTTTTATTTAATTTTAGTTGAAGTAATTTTATGTGCTTTTGTCATTTTTATACGTTTTTCTTCTTTTTTATATATATTTTATTTAGCTTTAATTTATTTTAATTTCAGTAATTTTAGTACTTCAACTTAAATGTATTTATTTCAGTTAGTTGCCAAGGCAAAATGTATAATTTTTGTTTAAGTTTAACAAACTATTTTTTTTTTAATTCCATACAAAACCAATGGCAATTAAAAAAAAAAAAAAACAATGCTACAATACTGCTTAAACTTCTCTCACCTCGCTCTTTCAGCAACAGCTCAAGAGCTTCGTTCTGTTTGGTGCTCTTTTCTATAATGAGGGTCGGCAGGTAGACGTTTGCCCCAAAGTCAATGAGCAGTTGAATGTATTCGACTCCACAGCCGTGTCTCAAACACAATTCCAGGACTGTCTTCTGCTGCGTGGCCCTGCCGATCACTTTCTCTTCCAGACTGTTATAGTTCGGCTCTGCCCCATATAACAGCAACATTTTGAAGCAATCCAGGTGCCCATATATGGCTGACAGGTAAAGCGGCCCGCTGCACACAGCAACCCCTGAGGCCCACAGCGTCACCTTTGACCTGGCATTGACCTCCGCCCCGTGCTGAAGCAGCTGGCGGAGGATCTCCGGGTCGCCCTCTCGGGCGGCAGTGAGCACGGGCGAGCTGTTGTTCAGGTGACTTCCATTCGGATTAGCTCCGGCACGGAGAAGCGCGAGCACACAGCTCAGGTAACGCCCACACACAGCAGTGAAAAGAGGGGTCTGGGCTTTAACATCAAGTCTGTCTACCTCTGCCCCATGGGCCAGGAGCAACTGCAGGCACCTCAGGTGACCTACAGGGCAAATAATTGCTGCGTTGTGGTCGTGGTGGACAACAAACTCAGATGTGACATCAGAGAGTGCATGGAAGGGTGACACACGTACCTTTTGATGCAGCCATACGTAACGGGGTACCTGGGATCCCCCAACCGCTCTGCTGATTAATGCACTTCCTGTAACGTTCTTGTGAAAGTAGCTCGGCCAGCAGGAAATGGTCATTGTCAGCCACAGCTCGGTTCAGTTCCAGACTCTCAGCAGCTGATTCATCCTCCTCCACCGGCCGCAGCTGGAGCATAGAGGAGAACTGCAGAGAAAAAAGTTTATGCACAGATGAGTGCCTCTGTATGACTGTTGAAAATAACAGCAAAATAGTGAGCTGCCTACCTAGACAATGCCCAAAAATGCTGTCTAGGTACAGTTCACTAGGGTTTGAGCCTTGAGTATTCAGGATGAATTGCCTTCACTTACGTTACGTTAAGTGTTGCACGCAGTTCAGTTTTGCATAACAACAAACCCTTATATTGGGATATTATTGTTATTTATGAGTAGATTGTGATTATATTATAGTAATATCTTGACAGCGTTTAAGCAAGGTTTTAAAAAATCGGAACGCTTTGTCATGAACCTCATTTATTATCTGCATTAGCTTTAACGACGACGAAGTTACTAGCAAGCATCCACGGTCAGTTAGCCGGCTAGCAAACGAGATTAACCTCATAAATACAAGCAGATCTAGATTTTTAAATGCTTTTATATGCGAATAAACTCAGCTGAGAGTAATACTGATCCCATTCGGGAGGAAATGTACTCACCGGCTCTTGGAGCTCGGTGGATTTAACTCCAGTAACGTTATCTGAAAACAACGCAGAGTTTGACTCGCTCTTTCTGACCTGCTGTCAAACAAACACGCATTTTTAAGGTATAAACTACTACACATATACAACATAAGCATATAGTAGATATTTTAAGTGTGTTTCCGCCTCAAGGCCACTCACCGAGCTAATAAGCCAAATAATACTGACGAGCAGTAAACAGCGGAAACTGTTCGGTGGGCGGCCAGAGGGGGCGCTGTGCGCGCACACACCGCCACTGGATTCAGTCATACCTGTTTTATATGAGTGTGCTTAGTGTAGTCCACAAACATTATGCAAATTATATAATCGCATAACATAACGCACTTTTTTTTTTTTTACTAAAATCTATATTTATTTAAAGAAAACAAATTCGAATTTAATATATGGTACAAAAGCGGTACAAAACAGTGCAATGATCAAAATAAGCGTGTATAAAATGAGCTGACATGATTATCACACAGAGCAAAACTCTTCTCAGGTTTAAAAGCAATAGATGTATTGTAACCACATTCTGTCATTTTCAGTGGTATCCCTCTCATTGCTTATTTCAAAATTCCCTTTTGACTATTGCTGTACATTTAATCAATAGAAAATATTTTTTCTAATTCAATCTAAAAAGATTGAAAGAACATAAGCAATATTCCTCAAATATTTTTATGTGCATCAAATTATTTGTTTGGCATTAGAGCTTGGCTCAAACAATGTGACATCCTATTGCAATCAATAAGCAGCATTTCAGCAGTGTTGCTTTTCATGCGAAATGAACCGCATTTGCAATAAAGAACACCACAAAAATAATACTAAGCCCTTTGTGCAAAAAAACACTGATAATCAATTTGATCCATTTTTTAACAATGTGTTCCCTTTATCAACCTGAATTTCACATCAGCTGCTTATGTGACTGAATAAATCAGTATCAGAGTCTGGTTTTCAAATGTACTACACATATTATATGGAAAGTATTACTAAAACAAAGACATTAAAAAAACAGTCTACTGTACAATGAAATGAGGCCAAATTTGATCAGAGCGGCATTTAAACAAAATGTAGATGATTCTGACTGCCTTCGATCAAAGCATATAGCTTCAATCCTCATGGTCTGTAGGCCAACAAGCACACTGAAGTCCACAAAAACAAACAGAACATTTCAGGACTGTTCAGAACAGATATAACAGGGCACAAGCATCCACCCAGTGCTCGAAAAATCTAATAAACAACGGTATTAAAAAAAATCACAAACTTGTGGCAGAACGCTGCAATTTGAATGTTTTTTTGTTTTTTTTTTGCATTACAGTAGCTTCAGTTGTGGAAACAGTACTGTATGCATCTTTTCAAAAATCCGGACATTTGTTCTTTGGGGTCTCAGTCAAAATGTCTGTTCTGTTACTATGGAGACTCAAGACGATTCTTGTACCTCCTCTTTGGAATGTTCGGTTTCCACAGAAACAGGTTTGTCTTTAGAGGAGGTCAGATCGTGTTTGGTGGCTGCTGGCTCCGCCCCTTCTTTCTCATTGCACTTTTCAGCTCTTGGACCCGCCTCCTCTGCGCCTCCATTAATCAAAGGAGCGCAACTTCCATTTGATTGGTCAACAGGAGCGGTGGGAGTCTCCTGACGTGGACTGTCCTGTTCCGCAGGTGTGTTGATTGGTCCAGATGGATCAGGGAGAACTCCATCTGCAACAGCCAGCTGCTGTAAATGGATGAGATGGAGACAGCGTCATGTCAGTCAAATACCTCTCCACCCTGACAAAATCTACCACTCCCACAACCCCTCTTACTCTCTGTAATTCAGTCATGGTTCTCTCTCCTTCTACCTGCTTCTGTGTGAGGGACAGCAGCTGGTCTAGAACAGACTGTTTTGGGTGCATGCCTCTGTCATAGTAATTATACATCCCACACCAGAACCTGGGAAACACACACAAATACAAATTTGGTGCAAAACTATTTAGTAAACACCAGACAAATCAAATTACTTTAGACACAAATCACATTCATTTGATCTCACAAAAGAATTTTAAAAGATTATTACACCACAGTGTCATCTTTTAATTTTAATCTGCAGCGGCACAGCCTCATATGTTTAAGAGTGTATCCATACTTGAAGTGCAGTGGTAAAGTGCTGGGTCTGAGAACTGTGCACTCTAATGAACGCCGGTACAAGGGGTTTCGATACAGATGCTGGTTCTTCAGAAGATGTGGCCACAATGAAAACGTCTTTTCATGCAACCTAAAATCCCACACAGAACAGTGAAGCAAAGCATTTTAAAATCATTCAAGACTTGGAATCAAGCAAACAAACAGTATGTTTGGTTTTACTTATAATAAAGAATATTTGCTTTCATTTTGAAGCATACACATTCAATGTCGAGTGTAACATTATTGTACATACATGAATGTGTTTGTATGTGCATTCTATCCTCACCTTATTTCCAGCCTCTCTTTCTGGCAGTTGCCGATGAAGTTTCCATACTGGCAGGCATAGACTTGATTGTGTATTTCTATTAGGTAACGTTCATTGAACTCAAACACACAAGGGAACTGTTCTGACAGCTGCCACACACACTCCAGGAACTGGGTGAAGACCGGAGACACTTCCTTGGGGTCGGTGTCCAGATGGCCACACCTAGAGCACACACATATATACAAATGAACATGAACAGACTTGGTAGTGATAAAAATGGCTTACGATTAAGGGATTACTACTAATAAAGTTAGCCTTTTTATAGTATACAAAAGGTAATTGTAATGTTTTAGCAATATTGTGTTAATATTTTAATATTGAAAATATTAATATTATTATTAAAACATTTATCATTAAAGGGATAGTTCACCCAAAAATGAAAATTACCCCATGAATTACTCACCCTCAAGCCATCCTAGGTGTATATGACGAATACAATGGGAGTTATATTAAAAAAAAATCTCCTAGCTCTTCCAAGCTTTATAATGGCAGTGAATGGCTGTTGAGATTTTGAAGCCCAATAAAGTTCATCCATCTATCATAAAAAGTACTCCACACAGCTCTGGGGGGTTAATAAAGGCCTTCTGAAGCAAATATCCATATTTAAAACTTCCGCTAACTGTCGTTCGCGCATTCACGAGAGAGTGGCGTTTCAGCGGATGAAATAGGATGTAGGCGTAGCGTTATCTCTCCTAGTCTCATGAGAACCAAGTTTTGTTTACAGCAAAGGAAAACCAGTCTCCTCACGTCATGGAACGCCACTCTCTCGTGATCACACATACGACAGTTAGCAGAAGCTAAAGATTACGGTTTATAAAGATTTAAATATGGATATTTCTCTTACACAAACGCATCGCTTCACTTCAGAAGGCCTTTATTTTATTTTTTTATATAACTCCTATTGTATTCTTCTGAAAGAAGAAAGTTATATACACCTAGGATTGCTTTAGGGTGAGTAAATCATGGAGTCATTTTAATTTTTGGGTGAACTATCCCTTTAATACTATTGATAAATAATATTTATATATTTGCCGTTTTTAAAAGCTGTGATAAGGTTTATACCTGTGACTGAATTTATGACCAAAAGAGATCCACTCCTTTTCTATTAAAACCTGTACATAAAAAAAAACCAAAACAACAAACTTAAATTCTATTATTTTACAATATTTTAGTAAGTCTAGGTGTCTCACATTTTAATTTACACTACTGTTCAAAAGTTTGGAGTCAGTACATTGTTCTTTAAAGAAATTAATACTTTTAGGTATTAGTCAAAAGTGACAGTGAAGACTTTTATGTTGTTACAAAATATTTTTTATATCAAATAAATGCTGTCCGTTTGAACTTTTTATTCATCAGAAAGAATCCTGAAAAGATCACGGTTTCCACAAAAATATTAAGCACCACAACTGTTTTTAACATTGATGATAATAAAAAATGTTCTTAAGCACCAAAGCACTGAAAATTCAGCTTTGCCATAACAAATTATGTTAAAACTTTTGAATGATGGTGTATATTAAGTTACACAGGAATAGTTGGTGACTTAATTTGCAAAGCCATGACCTGCCCAACAGTGTGATTACATGTGAGTGTACACTTCAAGTTCATAGGAGTCCTGTGTTGAGGGTAGAGGTTATAGGTTACTGGGTCATTACCATGAGGCCTTTAATGGTTCTGTAGTATGGGTCCAGCAGTATGCAAGACAAAGAGCACACCTGAGCCGTTCTGTCCCAACCATCAGAACAATGTACTAACACACTTGCCCTCTCTTCACAGACAGCCTAGAACGCAAACAAAATGACTGAGTATATCATTGTTAATATACATGTGTTGGTGTCTCTCTATGCAGTAATAGCATGGAGGTCAGTACCTTGGCGAGGAACATGCCTGCATCCATCACAGATTTGATGTGCCTCAGCCAGCCAGAGTTTTCCAGACCTGTCAGATAGTCACTCATGGAAGGAGACTTCATAGAGCACACTGAAAGAACAAAGGTTCAACCAACCATCATTTTATCTACTACTGATTTAAAAGGCACAATCAACACTCAACTGAGCAACTTACAAACATAAACTTAACCAGCTACTGCATATACCAGTACTAATAAGAACGTGTGTTCTCTCACCCTCCAGCAATTTTTGTAGGCTGTTTCTCATGACGTGGATGTTTTCGATTCCTTGGAATTGGAACCTGATATTGGAGTAGTTGTCCTCATTCTCATAGCCTTTACCAGCTGCGCGGTTCGCCATTGCGTTCAACTGACAAAGACAAAGACATGTACAAATGTATGCACACATAGCTCCAGAGGGTCAGGTTAAGGTTTAAGGCCTCCTAAATAACAGGGAAAGGAATGAAATGTTGTTTCCCCAGTTATACTGGTGAAACATGATATGGGCAACAATAAATAGAACAGCATATTCGATATTTGCAATAGATACAAAAATTGCACATAATGGCTCTGACAGGTACAGGGAAACACTAGAATTTAATGGTTAACTAGTCAGATTCCTTGATTGTTAGTTGACCATATAAATAGAAGAGTACTTTGTGTCAGAGGGTGAAAGATTACATTTACTTATGTGTCTCTTACATATATGCCAGGGTAGCTGAGGTTGAAAGTTTAAAATTAAACATTTACAAGTCTGATCCTGGACCTGTCCTCTTATGTATATAGAAAGGTTAAGGTTCAAGGTCACACCTTAGGCCGTGTGTCCACTACATATATATAAGGGCAGTTGGGGTTCGCTTGGCTGATGGCCTGAAGCATCTGCTCGTCTTCCACACAGCGAGAAGTCAAACCCGACAAAGGCTGACTGCAGCGACAGATCGCAGCCTACAAGAGAGTACCACAAAATGCAAAGAACAGATAATGATGTTGTTAGTGGCACAACTTCTTGCCATTCCTGTTTAAACCTACTGATGCATTTCTATGTCCCCAAACTGTAAAAACGTGATTAATAGTCTCTAGGTTTAATCTTTCTACTTTTAAATTCTACTTTTAAATTATTAATTTAATTTATTAATTTGGTTCGACTATTTTTATTCAATACTTTGCAGCATTGAATAAAATATGTATGTATTATATTACAATTAGATTTTCTCTCAACTCTGTCAGCTATCTTTGATGAATGTGATCAGTTTGTTGCAGTGTATTTCTGTTATCTGTGAAGGATACGTGCAATGTTACCTTAGAATATGGCCAAATGTTTTAAAAGGCAGTATAATTATGATATCTACTGTCTGAAACAGCCTGCGTGTCAGGAGTTTGCCTATGGTGCCTTAAAATGCTGTCTAGGTAGGGAGCTCAATTGGTTGTGGAACAGAGCTATTATGTGCATGTGCTTGTATACCTTTGTGTCTTTGTGAAAGTAAGACAGAACAGGCAATCGCCCGCGGCTCCTAAACTTTGCGCTGCCCGTTACCGTAGCAACACTGACATTTTTAGGGAGTCCTAGGACAGATGGATAAGTGCTACAGATCTGTGTGAAAGAGAGACAGAGAAAAATTGAAAGATCCATGAGACAGAACAAAATATAAAAAATTATGAATTATAATTAGAACATAATTTATAAACTCTTTAATACTACCGTTCAAAACTTTAAGATTATGTTTTCTGCATTTCTTTGATCAAAAATAACAGTAAGACTCTGATGTATTGTTGCAATTTAAAATAATTAAAGTTTTCTATTTTAATATATTTTATCATTCTAATATGCTGATTTTGTGCTTAAGAAACATTTCTTATCATTATCAATGTTGAAAACAGTTGTGCTGCTTAATATTTTTGTGGAAACATTTTTTTCGGGATTCTTTGATGAATAGGAAGTTTGAAGAACAGCATTTATTTAAAAAAAAAAACAGTAGAAATTTTGGCAAAATTATAAATGTCTTTACTGTCACTTTTAATCAAATTAATGCAGTCTTGCTGAATAAAAGTATTAATTTCTTGAAAGAAAAACATAATTTACCCCAAACTTTTGAACGGCAGTGTACCTAAACCATATTTATCATTGTGGTCAGTAGATAAAAGAGTTAGGCTGATTATTGTGAAATGGTCCTAAACAGGAAAGCATTATTAAATCACTTCACCTCATATTAGGAAGGCTAATTTTTGATCAGAATTTTTGATTATTTATCAGAAGGTGCTCCTTAATTTTTTTAAATTAGGAGGACAAGCGCTCCTGATTACAAGAAGAAAAACACTGCTCTTAAACTGGGTGTGTGACAGGTATGGCTGAGAAATGGGGTTTGGCCGAGGAAAAATTTTCAGTCAAAATATTTTTTTTTGCTTTAAACCCTGACTACTACAACAATTATTACAACTTTTGTTTAAAAGAATAATCACACAATACGCTATTTCTTCCATGTTTTAATTTTAATGGTAAACCCTTTGTTTGCCAAAAAATAAAGAGTTTACTGTGGGAGTACTACACTCAACCAACAGCAGGGAAGGCAGTTTTTGTCAGAGCCCTTGTTATTCTTAATTTTGACATTAATTTTCATTTTTACACCAGACATATATATATCAGTTCAAAATATCGGTTATCGGTCTACTTGATCTGTAATAATCGGTATCAGCATCGGCCTTGAAAAACACATATCGGTCGACCCCTAATTACTAGGTCGTCGAGTAATAGGAAGATGGTACCTCATAGTCTTTGTTGAGGTGGCTGATTTCCCAATAATCATTGGAGAGACCCATCCTGCTGAAGTCGTTTGCCACATTGATGAATTCCCAACCCTGTCTCCTGTCCTCCTCATTTTGTTGTGGATTATAGAGAAAGGCATACAGCTCCTCTTCTTTGACTGAAATTACACAAAAGCACAGTTAGAATCTAAGAGCAAACATGTGTGCAGTAGGGTCAGCCTGCAAGACATAACTGCATTTTTCAGTATGAAATAAACAGAACTGGAAGATTACTGGACTGGACACTAAATAAGAATGATTTTGAAACAAAAGTGTTGCTTGCTTATATTTTATTAAATAAAATATAAATATCAGATGAAAAGGTACTTAAAAACATAAAGAAAATTATAAATGTTCCCATGGCAACTAACTGAAATAAAATATGTTTAAGTTGAAGTACACAAATGATTAAAACTAAACCTTAAATAAAAAAATGAAATTAAAGCTATATAAAAATATTAATGAAGTAATAATAAAAAATTAATAAAAATGACAAAAGCACATAAAAATGACCAAAAAATTGGTCAATTAAAATGAAAACTGAAAATATATTTAAACGCTAATTTTAAAAAATACTATAATATTACATAAATAATACTGAATTAACACTATCATGTGCATGTGTTTTATTATGCCTTGCATACATAAATGCATACATTTGATTTTCTGTTGGTTATCTACTCAAAACAAAAAATAATTCTCATTAAGTTCTAAACATGTAGCTCATTTGAATGCAACAAACCATAGGTATATATATATATATA